CTAATAGCTCTATGAATTTGGATGAGCGTAAATTAGGCGGACATGCGCTACCGGTGGAGAGACCATCGTAGGTATAAAGGACAGTGATGGTTATTATGTTCAAAATTAGGTGAATCGACAGACACCTATAAAATGGTTAAGGAACCAGCCACAGACGTCGAAATGGACAATAGTGAGCGTACACCAAGTGTCCGCATAGAGCAGCTGATGCTTTCCGAGCGCTTTGTCAAAAACAAATTAACGCTAGCATAGTATTGCTCATCTATTCATACACTTCAAGAAGATCGTTGGGTGTTTCAGCATGAAGCGGTGTGGACAAGACGGAAACATGAGCTAACCCTTATGCTGCAAAACGGGACAGATGATGTGGGCGATTAATGATAAGAATTCATTGCTGATGCTGTTCTTGCGAACATGGTAAGAAGTGTGAATGATACGGACTTTCCGACTACATATACTCACGTTATGGCAAGCGACGATGCAGCGAATCGGTATGAATCCGTCGCAGCAGAGTTTTGCTCCCATGAGCAGAATCAAACATGAACATCCAAGCCAAAATGAAAAAAATTGCGCAATTGGATGAGATGGGTCGTTGCCAAAAAGCGTGATCAGAACTGTTGTGCGGTCCAAGGCCCGACTTAAAACAAGGGTTTAAGAAAAATTTAAATAAAACTTTATTCCGGTCGCCAACGTGAATTTAATTTGGAATGTACATGCAGTGTGTGCCGGATGCGATTTCCAAGTGGATCAGCTGGGTGTCGATACTGCTTTCCTCAACAGTATGCTGACATATAACGTTTTATGGAAGTTTTCCTGGATGTCGACAATGGTTGGGGATACGTTTGATAATTCAACAAGGCGTATATATGGATTGAAATAAGTAGCAAGTGCCTGAAACAAGATAAAACCTCGTGTCTTTGTGAACAATGACTTCAAGGGCTGCGGAGGTGATCATTGCCTTTGTGTCAGGCAATACAGCAATGTTAATTCTACGTTTGATTATAAGTGAATGACATGATTGTCACAGAAAAAATCAGTTGGGAGATCAATCAGGTCAAAGAAGCTCAAAATGTAGAAGTTGGCAAGGCGGAGCTCATCTTGTGCATTGAGATCTACCACAACAGGTCAGCACAAACCCACATGATCAAAGCAGACTTGCTACATTGATGACCTGGTCAGACGATTCGGTCAACATGATTTCACGTGTGTCGACAACCCGTGCGCGCTAGAATTGAAGTTATCGTAATAACCGTTTCTCATTACGGAAGAGAGTCGTTCAAGGATGCACTCCAGACCATATTGATCATTGTTTGAGTGCCTGCTGTACAAAGGTCTTGAACTCGACCGGATGTTACATACGTGACAATACTGGTGTCACGTTTCTGAAGAACCTCACTAGGATTTAGCAACTTGCGTGTTACGTTATCTGAAGAATACCCGACAAATCGGTATTGTATACCAAAGAAGTGGTAACATTGCAGTTAAGGTATATTCAGATGCTATAGGGACAACAGGCGTCCGATACCAGGAGTTGCGGTCATGATTGCAGACTAGCCAATGGACTGCAGCTCAAAGTACATACGGCATGTTGCATTTAGCACGGCGATTTCTGAAAATATGGCTCTCATCATTTGAGTTCAAAAAACTTCTTGGACGTGTACAATGCCTTAAAACATGAGATACAAGCAAGTGGATAAATTACGAGTTTGGGAAGACAACCACGGGGCGATCGTATCCACCAAATTCGCCGGTTCAATGCTCTGACAAAGCACGTGAACATATGCTACGCAAGAACGTGCAAGAAGAAAATTTGAAGATCAACACGAAGAGCCAGATTGCAGATATGCTGACGAAGGCATAGAAGTCGATATACTTGTTTTTACACGCGAGGTGGCGGGGATCAAGACCAATACAATGCCAAGGACCAACAAACATCAATAACCAGTGGGAGCTTTGTGATTTATCTGATCAGTATTGTTGGAGAACGATGTTGCAATTATGTCTATTTAATATGGATATCGTTCATGTAGAACGAAGTCAGATTAGCCCAGCGGATAGCGCGTGGTGGCCCCACTTTCATGAATATCGCCCAAAAACATAGTTTCATTACCCGATGCTAAAAGGCTCACTGTGGAGTATCTAACTTCCCCTTGTTCGTTTAGATTTACTGACTAGAATGTTATTATGACGGCAGAGTATTTCGATAAAGATATGGCAATGACAGGGCGAAATATGATTATAATGAACTTCTCACACCATCAATTCAACGCTTTTTGTGAAAAAATACGTAGAAATGATTTGTAGCTATCACATCCTTGGAATTTAAAATCTCACAGTACAATTTACTGCCACAGCGGCATGAAACATATAAATTGATAATTTTCGAACCGCATTTTGAAGTGGATTTTTACGTCTTTTCCTGTGAGATGAAATGAAATGTCGTATGAGTTTTCATAGAGTAGACTAAAAATTTTGGACTACGAGCATCGTATATATTTGTTGAGCCATTCATTTAAATGTCGCTCAATACTTCTATCAGCTTAATCTACAATAAATTTCATCTCCAACATAATGGGCATACCAACTTTCTCCTCCATACTGCAACTTTTTCTTTTTGCTGCAACGATTGTACTTGTCGATGTCTTGTCAGCGCTTTACACCACGACTCAAACTCTCCGAAACAATCGGTCAAGCGGATCCAATTAAAGGAATCCCCGCTGGAAATTTATTTTGTCTAAGTGGAACAGCGCTAATTACTCAGGGGATAAGCTGACGAATATTCTTTAGGACTCTTTACTTGACGAGAAACAGATCAAAGATATTAAGAATTTGGTTCGCTAATTGAACACTGTCGATACAATGAAATGCGAATTCGCTGAAATGTTTTGGTCTAGCTACTTCTAATTCACACTTCGCAAGCTGAGTGGACGAAGCCCTTCAAATCAGAGGGTAACTTGGTCTATAGGACCGGTTCATAATGCATTAGTTTAGATTCTTCTCATGTTAATGTTGCTGTGTAGAACTTTAACGATAATAGTATATATGCTTTTTCGTAAAATATTTGTGCAATATGAAATGCTCGCAGCTGTAAGAGAGAGCACTGCTAGCGAGCGAAGTGGTGACTTATTGTTGGTGACACGTTAGTGCAGGTGTGGGCTCAAGCAGAATAGTATTAGAGAATATATTAAACTGTTAGATCCTGGTTCATCAATCCAATTACATCCAGTCTAAAAGTTACATGCCTATGCTTGTAGTTGATGTTGACGTTGCAATATCAACGTCAACGTCAACTGCAACTGCGACATCAATCACCACCATGCGGTTGTCATCCTAGTGTATAGCATGTTATGTAACACTCCCACTCACGCTTGACTTAGTATCAGAAAAGGACTTGATACCACTGGAGGCACGTAGTTCAGTAAAACGAGTTGTCACCAATGCCTTCGCCATCATATCACCAAGTTGATGGTTTGTTGGGATGTATTTGATTTCAATTTCACCATTTGAGACGCGCTCACGGACAAAATGATGGCGGATGTCAATATGCTTTGAACATTGTAACCAACATTGTGCGCCAGGGCAATGGCTCCCTGAGTATCCTCATAGATCACCGTTGGACTTGACTGTTTGTAACCAAATTCATTCATTAACGTTTAAGCACAAACGACCTCCTGTGTGCATAGGCTCACAGCCATGTATTCTCTTTCAGCTGAGCTCAATGCAACCGTCTTCTGATATTTTGCTTTAAAAACAATCGGTGAACCATTAAATATCACCAAAACACCAGATACTGATCGTCGATCATCTACATTGCTTCTCCAGCATGCATCACTAAACGCAACCAGAGATTGTTTCGAAACACCCCCTCTGAAAGTCAATATGATAGATCGAGTTGTATACAAATACCGCAGTATCCGAATTGCAGCCTTCCAATGTACCTGACCAGCGCAATCCAGGAAACGACTGAGATAAGACACAACAAAGCATACATCTGGTCTAGAACCCATTGCAATGTTTAGTAGACAACCCATCAATGGTCGTTTCTCCATTGCTTCTCTCTGTTCCGTTGTCTTTGAAGAGTCATCTCAACTTAACTTCACTCCACTATCACATGGTTTCTGGATTGGCCGCACATTTGATTGATTGAAACGCTTAGCTACTTCCTCGATGCAGTGGCCCTGTGATATCGTTAGCGTCTTCTTGTTTATTCCATGATTTATTTTAATTCCAAGGATCAACTTTGCTTGACCCAAATCTTTGATACGAAACCATTGAGTGTTTTTTATTTGATTTCATCCAATGATTTGGCCGCTATTAGCAAATCATCAACGTATAGGCAGATGTAAATCTCAGGCTCAGGGCGATTTTGAACACAAGTGCATGAAACAATAGATGAAGGTTTGAACTCAATTTTTAGCAGGACGTCGTTGATGGTCTTGTTCCACACGTGAGCCGCTTGCTCGAGGCCGTAAAGGGAACGGTTCAGTTTTAGTACTTTGCCTTTGTCGCATTTGAATCCTTCAGGCACTCTCATTTTTACCAACTCATCGAGCATTCCATAAAGAAAAGCAGTATCTACATCAAATCTGAAAATCGATAGACCTTGGTAACAGCATACTGATTACACTATGCGGATGGAGTTCAATGTAGCTACTCGTACGTAGGTTTCAAAGAAATTTATACCAAATCTTTGACTAAACCTGTGCAACGAGTCTCGCCTTTTATCGAATGATCCCACCATTTTCGTTCTTCTTTATCGCGAAAACCCACTTTTATCCAATAGTTATTATACAGGATTTGAAATCTACAACATCGCATGTGTTGTTGCGAATGAATGAATCAATCTCATTATGAAAAGCTTGCTTCCAATGAGTTTGGCACTCTCCATTGATTGCGTCGCTTCATGATGTTGGCACATCAGCCATGAATGCAACCATGCCATCGTCATCACTAATTTGTAAACGCTTTGGTGGACACCCATCCATATGTTCCGAGTAATCGTGCTGATGGTCTTCCCCACTGGCTCGAACACAACTGTGCGTCTTTGTGGAGTGGCATCGGACTCAACCTGGAGGCGCTGCTGAGTGTGAGGTACATCACGCAGCACGTGATGCTGACTATGAATAGATTGGCGACGATGGATTGGAGGATGGAATACAACTGCATCCCTCCCACTAAGTAAGTGTTTGTCATGTGTAATTTCAGTGTGTGGTGGACTCGCATGCTGAACGCTTGATATATCAACCGCCAAAGGCATTCTCTCGTCGTTATCATCTAAGTCGTCATCCATGATCATATCATCGCTTTGTGTTGGCTGTGAAATACAGCAAAACAAAATTGCACGATTTTGTGACGAGCGAAATTATGCGCTTTGATATGAAGAGACCCAGAAAGTCCTTGGGATGGCAAACACTACTCCTTACATTAGGCAGAAGCTCGTGTGGAGCCTAATATACTATCACTGAAGGAGTATGAAAGGATTTACGGCACATTACCATCACACAAATAATATTAATATAATTCGAGAAGGGGATTAGCTCTTCGTCTGTCACGTATGATTCCGTCAATTTAGGCGTTTGAAGGCCACTACATATCGGACCCTTCTACGTTCTTCAAAAAAAAACATACTCTGATATCAACCACGGTGTACATATCGTTCTACCTGAAAGTGATTCACTCCTTGGTCACCAAGTAGTACCGACAAGGGTCAACCATCCCATGGCTGGCTCTCATGCTGTCCAAGAGTCTCAGCATACATCCAAAACTGAGATGTGTCAAATCTGTAATGCTCTCTGAGCTTTGCTATCACATTGCATACTTCAATCGTCTCGAATCAGCAACACTGTTCTGAATCAGAGGATCGCTCAGCCACAGAAAATGAAGAGGAATGCTCTGACTACAACATGGTCACTCGCATCGGACTATCTTGAATCTGCGATTAATGATTCGGCTTCAGCAATCATATGTGTAACACACATGTGCTCGCATTTTTAAATAGTTTTTAGAGTACAGCGCAATCGCTGTCCAATGTAGCATGATCGCAACTAGGTGTCATAGATCGCAAACACCGCATGTGCAGGCAGCTTCACTGCTAAAAATCAAACCTGTTGCCTCGTGAAAACTTCAAGAAAAAGTTCTTAGCCTCTGGCATCAAGAGACTGCCCATAGACATTTTGGTTTTCAGTCATAACATCACGTACACCCTTGCGCTCGACGCTCAAACTATTAAAGAAAATCACCCATAGGCTTTAGAGTGTGTTCGGGCTGATATTAGTAGATCAAATTGATTTGTGAGCCCTCCGACCACTAACACCGCAGCTGTTATGGATATCCATCCCAATATAAAAATCTCGTAAGCTTATCAAGGCATGTAATGTCCAATGCAAAACTCAGTAAGTCAATCAACTCAATTCAGCAGCGTGTTGTCTCTTCGTAAGTGACTTGCAAGATCATCAGTTAGGAAATTTACTCGTTCCGTCCGACATTCATTTGTGAATAGGTAGCTGTTGACCTAGTCAATTTGAAGGTTGATACCTTGAACAGTGATCACCAAAATTTAGCTCTTGAGAGCGAATCTATTTGTTGAGAAGTGAAGAGGAAATGCCGAAGTGAATTACATAGCAGCTACACAGTCTACCCTTCCTACATGTCCGTAGCTAGCTTCCTGTGCACCCTTCTTGTTCCCTGTGCCTCTGCAACAGCCGCACTCGAGCTTCACCATGCGACGCCCCGACAAGATGAGTGGTCGTGAGGGTAATTTTGGATGTGATTCAGTCATATCCAGCACTACTCACTCCATAATCTCTCAATTAGATCTTGCCACACTTGAATCGCCGATCCCAGTCATCATTCGTCGAGTCAGTTCACTATATTCGCCGAGTTCATGCGCGTGCCCCACGCGCCCTGCAGACCATTGATCACCTTCACGTCATCAATCAATGAGTCCTTGGTTCGTCCAGCTCTCACTACGCGGCGCCACTTCAAAACTATTCACTTTACAATGTCTTTTGGTAAGCCGTATTGGCAAGAATCATTGTGATGTACAGCGTGGCATCCCCACCGGCTACCACATTGTTGACAGCTACAAATAGGTACCTTCTCGCTCAGGCAGCCCACAAAGACCTTTTCTTAATATTGATATCATCAGAAACGTTATTTGAGAAATAAAAATAAAGCTCATTTTGATGGTAGGTCAATACACTGCCGGCAGGCTGTCCAAATGCGCAAACTTATTCGGCGAGGATTTAACAGCACGTTGTCTCGCCTCAACATGCACATAGATTTGCTTACCGTCTTATGCATGTTAAGCCGCAAATTCATTAAGCTCACCAAGCAGTATAATTCTAGTAATTTTTACAATTCCAGTATCATTTTGTCAAATTGAATACTTCTTGATTAGTGTATTACCTGGTTTGCAGAGATTCCTCGTGGTTCCTGGTTCATGAAATAATCGCATCACTTTAACGCCTACGTAGGATTATAATGGGCCGCAATTAATGGCAACGTGTAAGTAAGTCAAATATTGAATTGTCTCTGCTGCTGGCCTCATATAGTCTGATCAGGCCTCATATACCGAATACCAGACGCCGGTCCAAACTCGATGTTGATATCATTTGGTCTAAGGTGGCCTCAACAAATAGCTACCTCATTGTCAGCGGCAAACAGGACAAGATAACTAAATCGGTTCTTTAGGGCTAACGTTTGACTACTAAGAAAAGTTAAGAGGGCGATGCCTTGATTTTTTAGTGACAAGGTAAACTTCAGCATATCCCATTAGTAAGATTTGGGTTCGTGCTAATGTTTTCAGCGTTTAAAGCGCACTGCAGATGATGTGCACGCTCCGTCTACCCCAATACAGAAGATTGATAGCTCCAAATTCAGACGTCAGCTTAGTGATCATTTCCATACTTTTGTTCACGATCATAGTCTCTTCATATTTTTATGAGGTGATTCACCAACTGCTTCTATTTTTGGTGCATCTGTTTAAAAAACGTCACACATAATGTGCTATCGATCTTCAACGATTTTCCAAGATTGTAAGGTCAACAGACATTTAAGGATGTCAAGGTGTTGTGACGCCACATGTACGGTGCACAATGGCAACTTGCAAGTCAAAATTAAACCTTCCCGAATATCAAGCTTAAAAGGTTACACAGCATGCGTTAGTGCTAAGGAGCTGGTTAGGGTTCTGGTAGCTTATTTTTTTCCATTCCGCGCTGCGAGTAGCAACACATCGTTAAAGATGATAAACACAAACGCTTCCGGGTCCAACGAGATACTCACCGACGACAACTACTACATGTGGTAGTTCAACGCTTGGATTGCATCAGCTAGAAAGGGGCTACAACGACACCTCGAAGCCATAAAGCCAGAAGACGCAGCGGGCCGCGAGGCGCAGGAGTGGAAGGCCGTCCACATGAAGGCGCTGGCTATTGTGGCCCAAATTCTGTGTCCAACCTACCAGTCGATGATTCGTGCCGCGGCTTCTGCATATGACGCATGGGAAACGTTGCGTTCTCTTTTCGCAAAACAGTCACTTCGTAACCGTGAGCAATTGAGGAACGAGCTGCATGGAATTTTGCTAGGCACGGGAGGAGAACTGATGAAGCTTATCGTGCAGTCTGATGATCTTGTTCGCGATTGACTGCGGTAGGTGAGGTCGTGTCTATGGACGAGAAATTGGTCGTTTTACTTAAACGTTTACCCCAGGAGTATGATGCAACGATCCGTATTATCGAGACGCACGAGATGGTGATATTGCTGGATGTAAAAGAGATGCTACGCCGTGAGTTCCGGCTGGCCAAGGTGAGAGAGTGGAAATAGCAATCAATCATGGTATCGATCCGCAAACAAGGTGGTCGAGGTGGTCGTCGAAGAGGTAACAGACGACGACGTGGGGGTCGAGGTGGCCGTGGTGATCGTGGAGGCTCCAATGGCGGCCGAGGACAGCACCAGAAGACGAATAGTGACAATTGTTCGTGGGTATTGCTTTAACTGCAATGAGGACGATCACAAGCGTGACGAATATACTGAGAAATTGGGAAATTTGTTTGCTTTCTTGTCCACAATGGATGCTTCAGCACGAGAGGTTTCCTGGCTGCTCAATAGTGGAGCGAGAAGCCACATGACGGGTAAAAAGATTGACTTTGTGGAGTATAAAGAGTTAAAGATGTTAGTCATCATCACCGTGGCTATTTCACAGCAGTTGCTAGCGTGAGGAAAACGAGCTATGCGTTTTGTTGTCGGAGTTGCACAAACGATCAAATTGACGGACGTTTTGTATGTGCCCCAATTGGATAGACAGCTGGTGCCCGTTCCAGCGTCAGTGGAACGTAGCGTTGTCGGGCATTTTGAGCGCAACCAAGCGGAACAAGTAGTGGCAAGAGAAGCACTAGATGTGATTCATCAAAACGGTGAGCTGTTCATAAGGCGTTTACAGCAGCTGAAGAGAGAACAAGCCGTCCAGCCAGATGCTATAATGCGTGATGTTAGGGCGTTATGGCATGCCCGACTGGCCGTCATTCCGCATCAAAGATGCAAGCTGCTGAAAGACAAGTGATGGACTGCCTGGACGTCAGCATGAAGAAGACAACGTGATCGCCAATTGTGGTGGATGTTTTTAAGGCAAGATGACGATGAGTCCGTTTGTGCGATGTTTCGGCAGTGAAGTCATGACTAGAAGCTCTCTGGAGGTCGTACACACTAATGGTATGGGCCCAATAAAGCCTAAATCGAAAGGTGGCCCCGTGTATGTACATACATTCATCGACAACTACAGTAGATACGTCTACGTGTATCTGCTGTTCACGAGAGCACAAATTTCCTATTGCTTTCTCCAATGCTTTGTAGAGAACCAAACTGGCTACAGGATAACGTGTGTTCGTAGCGATATCGGTGGAGAGTCCATCAGTGCAAATTTTAATCGGTTTTGTTCCACCAACAGCATCGTGCATCAAACAAGTGCTCCGTATTCTCTGCAACAGAATGTTTGGCGGAGAGAATGAATCGCACGTTAACTGAAATGACCCAAGCGATGATGTATCACATGTGGAGGTGGAGCGACACTGGTATGGAGACGCCGTGATGACAGCTGCTCATGTAGTTAGTCGTATCTTGAACAATGCGCGTCGCGACAAGACTCCTTAGGGCTTTAAGCGGCACGCAGCACGCAGCACTCACTCCGGTACCTTTCGAGTATTCGGATCTATCAAGTACGTGCATCTCGAAAAGAGAAATCGGGCGAAATGGGACGCGAGGTTGCACCGATGAATCTTCTTGGGATATGCTGACGGCTCAAAAGCATACTGAGTATGTGACCTCGACGACAAAAGACTAGTCAAAACGCGGACGGTGACGCTAAATGAGTGCCCATCTGCTCATTGTAACGATGATGTTTTCGTTGATACGGAGATAGCCAAACGAAGTACGCGCTCGAAGACGACAACGGCATGTTGAGTGCGCCGACATGTGCAAGTACACCCACTGCCACAGACATGGAGATCGACGGAACGAGAGTTGACCTTATGCGTACGGATGTAGATAGCTCTGCTGTTTAAGCTACCAAAGTTTTCCTTGATGGGGGGGCTTCTTGAGTGTTTCTCGTACCGTCGTTGACACTACACATTCAGGAAACTTCGCTGGAAATTTATCCGGAACTAGTACTTTGATCTGGTCACCCCAAAAATACTAGAGCTTTCTCGTTCAGACAAATACCACTACTACCTGCACCTACTCGCTATATCTAAGCTCCAGAACAACCCAAGAAAGTAACTTTCGGTGATGATTGCATGGTGTTTAGCGGTGGATCAAGGTCTGGGCGTGGGCCTCGTGTTAAACAGACTCGGCTAAAATTCAACGGAGATGAAGCTGATGACATGCCTCTGCTTGCAAATGAACCTCATGTGAGTCTCAAGACGATCGTGTGACTGAAGGTCCAGACTCTAATCGCACTCGGCTTGATGAGTACGAGATCGCATTAACAGCCACGGAAGTTTTTGCGAGCTATGCAGAAGCGATGGCATCACACGAAGCCAAGCTGTGTAAAGAAGATAATTGCTAAGAACTAAGGGCACACACTCGCAATTTGTTCAGGCGCCCGCATGGTGCACGAGCTATCGAATGCAAGTGGCTCTTTGCACTCAAATTTGATGAGAACGGCAACATTTTCGATTCGAAGCTGGCCTAGTGACGCTTGGATATTTGCAAACTCGTGGCGTAGACTACTACTACACGTACTCCCCGGTGGCGACCACCAATACTATTCGCGCGTCCTTTGCGGTGTGCTGCAGCAAACGATTGAGGAGGTGGATATTAAATCATGTTTCTTAGTGGGCTGCTTGATGAAAACATGTACATGGCGATGCCACAAGGTGTTCGGGTTTACGATGGGTTTGTACGCAAGCCGAAGCGAAGTCTTTATGGGATGAAGCAAGTCGATGCAGTCTGGTACAAGATATTCGGGCTGCATTTATTAACATGTGATACGTACAATGCGGTGCAGATCCATGTATGTTTGTCCGTCTCGTCAATTTGACAAGCCCCCTGTGTACATCGTGCACTATGTCGATGATCTGTTCATTCGTTGTACCACGGATGCTGAGGCAAATTCGATTTGTGCTGCAAATTCACTGTGAAATCGCTTGGCAATGCTTAATTTGTTCTCGAGATAGAGTTAAGTATGTACCACAGAAGGGGGAACTTGTGTTGGGAAAAACCCCGTTTATCAAAAGAATGCTCGAGCGATTCGGGCAAATAAAAGCAAATACTACGCGAAAATCCACGGTGCGTGGTCAAGCTTTTACGCCGGACGAATCGCATGATGTGGACAAAAATGATCGGGGCTACCAGGAACTAACTAGTCTTTTTTGTACGTCGGCAATGCTACCAGCCCAAACATTTGCGCTATTTTGTCGAAACGCCTGCAGTACCTGGATTTTCCATGTGAAATGCTCTGGCGCGCCTCAGTGCCCGTCCTGAACTATCCCAAAGACGCATGCACACGTGAGGTGCGGTTCTGCGGTGCAACATGTAATCAACTCAGTATCAAGGCTTATGCGGACAAAATTGGGGATCTGACAAGCACACGAGATGCTCAACGTCTGGAGTATTATTGCTGCTAGCAGGCGGGTCGGTAGTACTAAAGAGCAAGCGGCAGACCACAGTGGCTTTGTCTTCTGTTGAAGCGAAGTATATGGCACTTGCTTTAGCCAAGCAAGAGGTCATTTGGCTACGCTACCTGTTGGGTGAGTTCAAGGCTGAAGTTCCCACCTAGACAACAAATCTGCGATCGGTATGGCTACCAACCAAGATTACACGTCTCCCGCAAACACATTAACATACGAGCTCATTTTGTGCGAAAAAACGTCGAAGCAGGACGCGACAAGCAAGCGCACCATGCTCATGAAGAATCAACTGGCCGACTTCTTTATTAAGGGATACCGACGCTACGCCTGTTGCAGCTACCCGGAAAAGCGATCGACGATGTGCTAGTATAGGGGGTGTGTTGAGGCGTTGTGACGTCACATCACAGCTCTGTGTACGTTGCATATTGGCACCCTGAAATTGAAATGGAACCTTCTCAAAAATCAAAATCGCTAGATTACAGAACATACACTAATGGTTTGTAGTTGGTTAGGTTTCTAGTAGCTAATTTCACTTTCGATTTTGTACTGCGAGTAACAAGACATCGTTGAAAAGGACTAGCAAATAGTGTTGCCATTATTTATACTCGCTAGTTTGAAAACACGCATTACGATCGGACGCTGCATGCCAACATGCATCGAAGTTTAAAAAGTATAATACTTTCCTTAAATTACGAACGGCATCCGTTGCTCCAGGAGTATTGTCGAGATGAATACTCTTGAAGTCATAATATTGCGGGTATATTTGTACTTACATGCATTAGTATCAGCTTTCAGTAGTACATAAAACAATGTCAGATGTACCAAGTGGTGTGGTGGCTTCACTTTCATGATTGAGGGTTTAGATCTCCTTAAAGGAACAATTTTCATTCCAAGGTATCCGGAGCTGATTGTGGGGTTCCATGCCGTTTTTTACACCCATCGGCGATTTGAATGATCCACAGACCAGATCATGTTTTAGAGCAGAGTCTTTTGGTACAGATATGCATCTGTTTAGAAAGACGTTGGAACATAAAAGCTTTTTTTTTACGCTTTACCATCAAATCAACAGTATCCAAGGGCTTTTAAAGAGCAAGGTCTTAATAAATAGGTAATCAGTCTTCTTGATGTCATTATGGCTCACGTTATGGACAGTTGTTTAATGCCATTATTAGCAGTAAAGATGCCTTAGCAATGAATATCTAAGCCGCCCGTGGCGATCACCACGCCTTCCTTCACTACAACGTTCCGACTCACGACGACAAACTAGCGCACCGAAGTCAAGTGATCTTTTAAAAAAGTTCGAGATAGAACGCGGCAAACCCGTCCGCACGACCAAAGACCCGGGTCTCAAGCTTACAGGAACGATGTGTGAAGGTAGCTGCACAAGAGGAGTGGTAACTACTACCGCTTTGAGTTCTGTAAAAGGATGATTCATATACTTTTGGGCGTGTCATATCGTTAAATGATGAGAGCGATATCACAGAGTCGTGGCTTATAACTGGTGGCAAGGTTTTGGGCATCATTGCGCAAGGAGTTGGAAATAGAATCAGACCAAGATACGACCGGCCACAATTGCCATGGAGGAATGCTGAACGCTACGTGAGTTTTAAATCACTCGAAATTATAAAATTGCATGATAAAAGCGTGACAATTCCACTACTTCATAAAGGATAATGGTACTAGCGTGGTGGAACATCCTGTCGAATTTGACGAGCTGGTTGTGGAGCTCCAGATAATGAGATACCAATAAACGAGTCGCACCAACTGGTGGTACTTTTCGCAAGTCTGACGGCAGAATATGATTTGTTCTCATCAATTATGATGCGAAGAAAATTACATTGATTGAAGTGAAGAAGAGCTATTTAAAGAATCAGGGAAGGTGCACAGATGAAAGGCTACGGATAAAGCGTTCTGAGTAAGTGGAAATGCTCGAAAATTAAAAGGTGGACAGAGGAAACGTTTGAAAAGGTAGTGCCACGCGCAATAACGGCAGATGTAAGTGCAAGTATTTTCATTGTGACTAAGTTGGTAATGTAAAGCGAAAATGTCCGGTTGGAAGCGTGTCAGCAATGATACTGCTGTATTCGCAGTCGGT